CTGACCACACATTTAAGGCGTCACATTTTGGCTCACGTCTAAATATTTTGTGGCTGTAAACCTCTTTTTAATGTGAGTGCATTCTCGATTTTTACGTTTGAAATTTGAGTGAATTATTTTTTAATATTTTATGTACAATTCTACAGTGTATTTTTTTTATTCTACAATTTTTTTATTTTTTATTTTTTTGTGGCGTGTAAAATTCGTAATGTGTAAAGAAATATTAACCATACAATGAAGTTAACTAATTTAACAAAAAAATTAACTGATCAATGTATCATTTTATAAGGCTACCATTTTTTTTCTTTCTTTTTTATATTTGTAAAAGAGAAAAAGAAAACAAAAATGACTAACCACTCGCTAATTAAGCAATTAGCAACTTACTACCTTATTTTTTTATTTTTTATTAAATTTCTTTTTTTATTTTTCATATTTACTAGCTGGTATATGAAGAAAATAGCTCGATGTATTTGTCCGTTATTTGGTCTACATACATGGTCAATACTACTAGATATCTTAATTGGGATCCAAGAAAGGAAAAAAAAACATATATATATATATAATATATATTTAAATATATATATATAATCATAACACACGAGGGGTTAAAAATGAACCTATTTCAACTAAATCAAAACAATTCCCGCTATACAAAAACTCGGCATAGTGACGTAATAATTTGGCAAAGGTGTGGTAGTGTTTAATGTTTTTCAACAATTAAACTACAATCTAATAGCATTTTTCTAGCTATTTGTAAAAGAGAGATCTTATATTTGTTAGAGAGGGCACTTGCTTGATGAGGCACAAACTTTATTGAAATACTTTCACGATGTAAGTTGTTGCCCTAGGAAGTGCAATGCTGCTACTCATTGGTCTCCTTGGTTAAAAGGGTGACCCTAAGCTAACAAGTATTTTTGCTTTGCGAGTATGTAGGGGAGTGGACGGGAATGTCTATCTTACGTTGTCTTACTCTTATTTTACAAAGATGTTGTTTCTACAAATCCAACATATGACCATTCAATCACAAAAAAACAACATTTCTATTATGTCAATTGTTAATTAAATCGATCGTTAATCCTTGTTATATAGGTGACTTCTATTTATAATTTTAATAACTAAAACCTAAACCTTAAAAGTTTCCTTCTTAATTAATCAATACCTTTTCAAAAGTAAACATCAGATGGATTTGGTTCAATATGACCCTGCAAGCTAGCTAGCTCTAAGTAATTATTATGCATTTTCGGTAACGGTTGTTGTGACATCCCACATCGCCTAGGAGAGTGATTCTTAAATGTATATTCTCATCCCTACCTAGCACGAGGCATTTTGGGAGCTCACTGGCTTCGGGTTTCGTTGGAACTCCGAAGTTAAGCGAATAGCGCGCGAGAGCACTTCTATGATGGGTGACCCACCGGGAAGTTCTCGTGTGAGTTCCCAAAAACAAAACCATGAGGGTGTGATGGGGGCCCAAAGCGGACAATATCGTGCTACGGTGGTGGAGCGGGCCGGAAAGTGATCCGTCCCGAGCCGGGATGTGACAATTTGGTATCAGAGCCTAACCCTAGCCGCGTGTGTGCCAATGAGGACGTCGGGCCCCTAAGGGGATGGATTGTGACATCCCACATCGTCTAAGGGAGTGATCCTTAAATATATATTCTCATCCCTACCTAGCACGAGGCATTTTGGGAGCTTACTGGCTTCGGGTTCCGTTGGAACTCCGAAGTTAAGCAAGTAATGCGCGAGAGCACTCCCATGATAGGTGACCCATTGGGAAGTTCTCGTGTGAGTTCCCAGAAACAGAACCGTGAGGGTGTGTTGGGGGCTCAAAGCGGACAATATCGTGCACGATGGTGGAGCGGGTCAGGGAAGTGATCCGTCCTGGGCCGGGATGTGACAGTTGTAGACTTGATTTGTTTATTTTGTTGTTGGTGAGGGTAACAAATTTCATGAAATTCCAACTTATGTCATCTTTTTATTTTTTTGGTTAAACAAAGTGACTAATAGCCTGACAAAAATGAATTTATAAAATAATGTCATGAGGTCGAGAAATTTTAGAATTATCGTACAATAATAACGGTTTGCAAATATTCATCTCACGATAGTTTTGTCGAATACTACATTCTCAGTCACACAGTAACATGGCATGACAAGTTTGAATCAATTTTGGATATCACTTGACCATATGTATAATGTATTAATTGACATTAACTAAATCTAGTTAGTTAATCACCATTAGTTGGAGTTGAGGGAGATCATTGGTAAAAATGAATATCACTTGACCGTATCTATAATGTATCAAGTGAAGTTAATTGAATGTACTTAGTTAACAAAAAGTCAAAAACCATTAGTTGGAGTTGATAAAAATCACTAATACCGAGAACTCAATTAGTGGGGTTTAAAAATCATTTATCCAAGTAATTATAATAATATTATACAATACATACAAGATTTACACGCCACCAACCACAATGTCTCTCTGTTTTTTTTTGTTCTTCTGGTTTCATAGGAACTATTGGAGGAATAAAATAATCAATTGTCACCCACTAAATCATGGCGTATCCAATAAACATTTCCTAGCATGCATGCTGATATTCAGATTGGATTCTACACTATCGTTAGAGGGTTGCCAACATAGCTTTGTTGCCTTTATCGTTTATTGTTATCGATCAATATTGGTAGTGATTATGCGTTTGTGCTTATGGTAGTCTTTTGGAGATGTACTCTTGTTTGTTTAATTGTGTAAAATTTTAAATTTATTCCAAATCAATTTATTGATCACTGAAACAATGTACCTAATGACACTCTTATACTTATTTGCGATGATTAATGGAAGGAATACCACTATATATATATATATAGGATGAATTCGTGACATCATTTTTTTACACAATATTTGTCACAAGTATGTATATAAAGAGAGAATTGTATGTCTAGACATACAAATCTGCAATTCCACTTTCTTAATCACCTCTCTCTACCTAATTCTTGATAGTTTGGAGGTTTGTATGTCTAGCTGCGGAAGAAAATATCGTGAAAGCTTATGATTCAATTGGGAGGTTGCACGTTACGAAAATCACTTTTGAAATTTAAAAATATTCTTAAAGTTCGTTTAGAAGTATTTTTAAAATAGTTGAACGAGATTTTGGTGAAGATATTATTGGAAGTAATCCTTAACAAAAGTATAAGTGAATTTAAAAAAAAAAACACTTGAATTGTTTCTTTCTGTTACGAGTGCTTTTAGAATCCAAAAACATTTCTCTATAAGCGCTTTTAAAGAATGAGCCCTCATGTTTTTGCCGAAAGTGCTATCAACTCTTTCATACGCAATTTCAACACACAATAAACTTTCTAATTTGTGTGAGATGGAACGAGAATGCAGTTGATTCGATTGGTGTAAATAGTTATTAATTATATCGTCAGTTGAATAGATCATTGTCTTGAGTTGGGAATGAGGTCGGGAAGCATCAAGTATTCTAGTGCAAGCTGAGTCATTTTATCCATATTATTCATAGTTAATATTCTTATAACAATTTGATCCATGGATTGCTTTCGGACATCCCAATTTGCTAGATGGGGACACATGCAAATCACTATATCCATATATAGAGTTCTGCTCTCTCGGTCTTCGTTTCGAAGAACATATGCATATTAGCTACAAAATTAAACTTAAAATATTTGACAACTTAATAAAAACATAAGAAAATGAGTTTTCTACTGATTCAAAATGAGAATCGTAGGAGACCAAGACTGTATATACCATAAATAAAGGCGTGAGGCATGAGAAATACCATCACAGAATTCTTCAAGCTTTTCTCTCAGTTTCCCTCTCCACTTTTTCTATCTAAATTTTAGGTAACTACAAAATCACAATTAATGGCAGAGGAAAGATAATAAAAATCTTAATTAAGGATTTTTTTAATGTATAATTATTTAGATAAAAGAAATTTAAATTGACATGGTCAATTAAAATGAATTAATCCAATGATTTAAAACTTGTGTCTAAAATGTGATGTCATGGATCCCGCCCTTGTATATATATGTTTATTGATTTACATATATATTGATAGAAAAGATGACTCAGACCAAAGTCATGTTGGAATCCCACATTCATGAGAGATTTTTCAGTGGGTTTGGAATACAGTTTGGTATACTAAGGGAATACAGTATGGTATACTCAGTGTCATGATACAATTAGTTGAAAACTTAAAAAAAATTAAATTAATTGTATTATGATAATTGGTGTAACAGACCGTGTTCCCAGCATATTAAAATTTCTCTACATCCACGACTTCTTAAGGTGTCATCAATTAATATATAGCATAATGAACTAGACTACACCAAAAATTAAGTACGACACGACATCCCGATACGCATGAAAAGTCAAGGATTCGAGTCGAGCTTTATTTGCTTGGTTTATAATGGGTTTAACACGATAAAATGTCAGAAATATGGAATAGTCAGAAATATGGAATAACGCAAATTCATAGTCAATATTATTTCTGATTCTGATAAGAACAATTGACAATTGATTGTATCTGTAACAGTAGAAAAAGAAGACCCAACTTTAAGTTGTTCAAAAATAGTGTCATTAAGTTTCTTGACCCCTTTCTTTAAGATTAGCCAGTTCTATTTTTCGATAGGAGGTAAAGATAAGAGAAGGGATATAACTCAGTGGTAGAGTGTCATATTGACGTACATATTTTTATAGGTCATGTTTACTCACGAAACATAATTTCGCAAGATAGCAACACTAATGCTTTCTGATACATTCTCTATATTTTCTAGATATATCTCTTTTGGAGAATTACCTTGAGGGACTTTACTGTGTAAAGAATTTTTTTTATTTCATTATTATGTAACAAGTTAGACATAAAATTTTATCGTGTAATAAGATTCTTTTATTTATGTTTTGTTGTTTGGTTGAATAGAAAGATGAGAAAGCAAGGTGAAAAACGACATGACATGTAAAATTTGCCAATGAGCTTGAGTATTTTGACACAATAAGTTAACGAATGTATTTAAGAAAACTTTCGCACATAAGCACGATAAAACACGACATATTGCCAGGTCTAAAATTGGGTTGCAACTGTTTTATTTATCATAGTATAAAATATATGCAATTGCATCAAAACCCTGTTCACCTTGACTTGATAATTTCTTCTTTCATGGCAAGTGAGAGAGCACTGAGACTTCCCCCAACTTCCACTCTCACTCCTGGCATTGCTATTGCTCTACTCCCTACAAACCCACCTTCTCCTACACTGATCTTTCCAAACTTCACTTTCCCCTCATCACCTTCATATATGTGTCCAAACAGAAGAGCTTCTCGTCCCACGCACCCGCCTCTCTCGATCTCCACCATTTCCGGGTTTAACAAAGCTCCCATGCTGTCTACATAGGCGCCTTGGTCCAGCTCAATCTCCGAACCCATAAGCTTCATCCACAGCACGAAGAAAATTGATCCGCTTGTCATTTCCGCGAAATAGCTCCCAACTAGGGTTCTAAATGCCTGCCATGTAGTGTCCAGAAAGACCCCTATGCTCCAAATATGCACAGTTTCCCCTTCTTTCTTCTTTCCGACAAGTAACCATTTAGCCACAACACAAGCTAATCCGGCCAAAAGACCCGAAGAGACCCAAAACAACGGAAACAACCAATGCAGGGCGACTTTTTGAGCATTCTTCAAGTGCAGCATCCAGTTCAAAGGAGCGTAGATTACTAACGCCAGCAGGAAATGAGGCAGCACTGTTTGTAGTAGAGGTTGAGCAAAAGTGGCCCACAGAGTCTGAAACGAAGTTCTTTCCAGCGTCACGTTTTGCGTGTCTTTTTTCATCAATGCTGCTGCCATCGGACAACCGGAGAGGTCTACTTTGACATCGGATTGCTCTATGAAGATCTTCCATGCCTCTGGAAGGGGTGCACCGTTCCTCAGGTGTTGGCATATCTCATAGATCAATGAACGCCCATGATCAATAGAAGCACTCTGGGAGCATGATGAAGCTCGGATGACATCCACTTCATGGCATCGAAGAAATGGATTGAAGTCCAACTGTTCTGATTGTTCTGCAGACAGATTATGGTTGATGTTAACCTCTCCAACATCAATATATGGGAACTCAGACTCACTCCATGGTTTCGTGCAGTCAAGTGCAACGTCACGCGCAGCTTCATCATGTGGAACTGGCCGGACCTGTAACTGGAAAATATAACGAACTCCTTTGGCATTCACACGACTTTGGAAATCTTCAGCAAGGAAAAGTAGAGGACGAGTATCATTATCATTCCTCGGAATTGCACCTGTATCAGGTGGAAGAATTCCAATTGGCTCCACCTTACCAGCTTCCTCACTAATATTCTCGTCAGAAGGCCTCAACTTGAACTTGACATACATTTCTTGTCCATCTTCGAACCGGAACAGCCTGCATATATTCGAGTAATAATGTAGTTCAGCATATGAGTTTGCATGGCGCAAGGAAGTCCATACTGCATCACGCACATGTGGGGCTCGCTTAACAAACTCCTCCCGTGCAGGAAGCCCACAGACAAGCCATGTTGCAAAATCGGCAATTGTGCGGGCGTAGAATGCATTTCCTGTCTTCAGTGTCAGGTCAAAGAGTGAAGAGTCACTAGTTTCATCTGAAAGTATTCTTATAGCTGCACCACGCGCATCAATCCTTGCATCATCATCAGCGCTCAAGCTGTTGCTGTGCCGAACTATGACAGGGTAGCTCTTTCCTGGGCAGAAGATTTTATGGTCTGGCAGGCCTTGATGTTGTCATAGATCTTCAAGGTTCCCTTCCCACTAACACCGATTCGATGGAAATATCTTGACTTAACCTTCAGAGTTGTGGCAGCCAAATTTGCAGCAAGGTTACCGACAATTTTCTTATATTTCATATCCATCTCTTCTATTCTATCGTCCAACGAATGCATGGTGTTCTTGATCATCATTGGAGTTTGAGACCCAATGTAAACACCACCCGCTTGGAGCACTGAATTCACCGGTGCAACTGACAGTGCACCAAGAATAACATCTTTCTGAAGAACTGAACCAGGAAGGACTACACTTTCACTCCCAACTACTGAATTATCATGCACCTCAACTTTCCCACTAACAAACCCATGAGAGGAATAATACCCAGCAATGATCCGACTGAAATCACCAAGATGGACACCAGAGCCGAGTGAAATCAATTTCAGGTCTGAAATTGGGTTGATGGCCCTGACAGAACAATGTTTCCCAACCTTTGCACCAAGAAGGCGCATGTACATGCAGAAGGCTTCGGTTCCAGACAGGAGCTTAGCAAATCTGAGGTGACAGGCAATGGTGATTCGATGGCAAAGCCATGTTCTAAAATGGGTCGTCTTTTTCTCTTGGTTACTAGAAATAAGGCGGGTCAAAGCGCCTGTGAGGAAGCTGAGCACTATGCCATAAGCCAAATATGCGACCGCCAATGAGATGGATGAATAAATTATGCCTAATGGGACATTAGAAAACATGGTGGCATACGCTATGACGGTGTAAGGTATCCAGTGAAAGGCCCCAAATAAGCAAGCAAATGCAAATTCTTGAGGGGAAAGAGGCTTCTGAGACATCCAAATGTAGACCAAGTACACAATAGAAGCTGAAAGAGTACTAAGCAACCCAACTATGTAGATGCCTATGAACTGGTAAACAGCCGCATCTTGAGTTTCCTTCGTAACATTTGGTAGCATTTTACCCTGAAATCATGTAAAGAAAACAATTGATTGATATCAGTTTCTAAGTTTGATTGGATGAAAAAGCATTCATGAATTAATATAAATAAACTATACAGCAGTGTTGTACCTCAAATATCTATATATAATCAGTGTAAGTCAGCTCCATAGGTAAGGAAATTAAAAAATTTAATTTCAAAATAATTACGAGATAAGAAAAAACTAATCATGATTTAAAAAAAGATTAGAATTCATGATGGTTGGATAATCATGCAGAAGAAAAGACTTACATTCTGAAGATTTGTAGCCTTGACAGCAGATTTACCTCCAGATTTTTGCAAGGCCATTACCTCAAGCTCTTCTCCCAGAATAGTTCCCTTTTGGACAACCGCGTAAGGGGCAACTGATGAGTTTTGGCCAATTCTTATTGGGAGGAAGCTTAACACTCCATTCTTAACTTCGTGACTTTGAATTAAGGCCCCTTCTGCGATCACCACTCCATCTCCAATTGAAACCAGAGACGGGTCCGTTATATCAACTGTATCAAGCAAAACTGAGGATCCAATCCTAGCTCCAAGCATCTCAAACCAATACTTGAGGAACACGGTTCCTCGCAGATGCTCTGCCAAAACTTTTGAAGCAACTTCTTGGGCCTTGTAAAGAGCCCACCATTTAACAAAATCCACAGACCAGATGGAAACCTCGGGGTTCAGGGCAAAGTTTGGTTTTAAGAAAGAGTTCCCTAAGAAAGCAATTGAAACACAGGTAGAAAGTATGCAGAAGATCCAAGCAAGGGGAGCAAAAGTTAGAAGGGTCAAATAATCTAAGTAGGGAATTCCTTCTACCAATGCATGGGTGGCTGAGACGCAATTCATAAAGGCAGATACGGATAAGTATGCAGGAATGGCGAGCATAAAAGCAACATAAATAAGAGCCAGAAGTTGGAATGACCAGATCACCAAGTGGTGAGATTCGGGAAGTTCCATCACAAGCTCAGCAGAATCAGTCTCAGTCTCAAGCTCTGGAACATTGGATGGAGTTGTTGACAGTTGAGGTTGGGAATTCATTACCAGATTCTCCGAGAAGCTTGCCAAGTCTGCAATGCAAGTTGCAGTGAAAATATCCACAGCTCCTACCGGCACTCCAAGAAAGTCAGAAAGTTTTTGAGCTGCTCTGACCACACCAATTGAATCGATTCCATAAGACACTAGACTTTCAGTATTTGAGATTTTGTTGATTGAAATACCAGTCTGCTCGGAAACCAGGCGTTTCAAGAAGTCTACAATATCTTTATTACTTATCTTGGGGCTTGGTAGTGGAGAACCTCTCACAAACTGAGGACGAGGGGTTATTCCCTCCTTGCATGTTCCTGTAGTGAAGGACCGCATCAGTTTTTTCTTTATTAGAATTGGTTCTGGAACAATGTTCAATGTTCCATCAGTAAACTGTTGTAGGCATTCGAATCTTTTGATTTTTCCTGACGTTGTCTTACTAATGCTTTTTGGCCTGATCATCTTGACAGAAGCAACGGTAACCCCATGTTCTTCTGCAACACGAGCTTGAATTTGTTCAACAACATCCTTGCCAACAGGTTTACCATCCCTAACCTCCGCAATTACAACCAAACCAACCTGGTCAGCATTATCTGGAACAGAAATACCTTTCATTGATAGGATTTCCATCGGGACAGCAATGACAGCACAACAACCTGGACGTACAACTTCTGATGCGCTCTCCACTGTCTTCTCTACATCTGCTGAGTAAATGTTCCTTCCAGCTACAATGATGAGATCCTTGATTCTTCCAGTGATGAACAATTTTCTGTCAATTATCCGTCCCAAGTCCCCCGTTCTAGTGTAGATGCGTCTAGGATAGTCAGGAAGCTTGTTTCTGTAAGTTTTCTGGCTTAGTTCTTCCCTACCCCAGTACCCAATTCCAGCACTGGGACTGCTGATCCATATCTCTCCTTCATTTCCTACTTCTTTGAGCTCCTCACATTTCTCTGGATCAACTATTCTGATGTCAACATCTTCATCATCGGGATTAACATACCCACAACAAACTCTTCCTTGCCAATCTACCATGATAGGGCTCCCTTCACCATATGCACAACTGACAAACACACAATTTTCTGCCAAGCCATAGCCAGGTGCCATCACCTCTTGAGAAAAACCAAATTGACGTGTGAGCTCAACAAATCTTTTCAGAGTTTTCTGCCTAACTGGTTCAGCAGCAACCATCAGGAATTTCATGGAAGAAAGGTCGTATTTCCTGTTTTTCTCCGACTCCAGCCTTCGAACGACTAGCTCAACGGCAAAATTGGGGCCAGCACTGTGAGTAGCTTGATATTTGCTCATGATTTGGAGCCACAATAATGGGTTCCTGATGAACTGTCAATGGGGAAAATAAAACTGCAGTTCCACCACTAACAAGAGCTGTGAAAAGTCCTCCGATCAGCCCCATGTCATGGTACTGAGGCAGCCAGCTAACTAGAACTGTCTTTGAGGTGCTCTTGTACCTCCTTCGCATCAACTTCACATTGTGAATGAGCCCACTGTGAGTTATCATGACTCCTTTAGCATCGCCAGTCGAACCAGATGTGAACTGCAGAAAGGATACTTCGTTGGGCTGTGGTTCAAATTCATCTTTGAAATCCTCCAAAACCACATTCTTGGAGTTCTTAATCCAAGAATCTGTATGTAACCAAGGAAGATTGGGCCACCGAGCTGTGGAATTTGGCTTTTTAGCTGTTAATGAGATTATATTTTTAACAGAACCTGCCTGGACAGCCCAATGATAACTAATGGTAGAAAGAATTGCTACTGCACCACATGATTTAGCAATGTTTTCAATCTTCAAAAGTGCTTGACCGCCTCTTTGTAAAGGATCTGGAGGTAGAACTGGGACTGGTAAGACGTTAGCTCTTAAGCACCCAAAGAAAGCATCTACAAATTCCAGACCTGGGACATGGACCAGGAGAACCCTGTCACGAGGCCTGATTCTTGGTTTCTTGCATGTCAAGAGCTTTTGAGCAATGCAAGAAGCATTAGCATGAAGTTCTGCATAAGTTCGCTGGCTCACTACCGCTCCTTCTTCATTGATCCAAGTATAGAGTGTGTTGTTTTGAGTGACTCCGTGAGCTCCCCAGTGCTTCAGATAGCCATCGAGGGAAGATAGATTCGGGAACTCCACTCCTGGTAATTCAGTCATGCTTTTAGGGCTTCCTCCCCACTGTTGTTGCAATGCAAACAAACTCTGCCAAGAGACATGTTTATACTATGTAAGGAATTTTTCATCAAATCTGATTTTCCATTCGTTCAATTTGAACTTTGTATGCATTACACTGAATATTTAGATGTGGGCTTACCTTAGCATAAGGAAACTTTGGCACAGGGTTGTCATTTGCAAAGTGCTTGCAGACTAAACCCATAGCATATGACGAATTTCTCTCCGTCAGTTCAAAAGCCATAAGACCGCCGACATAGTAAGTGTTCCTGAAGCCTTGAAGTTCAGATTCCAATTTCTCATAAAAGCCATCCTTCATCTCTGTATATAAAAAACTAAACTTAGCATTCCTAATCGGCACGGGATAAATGGTGTAAAAGCAAATCATTACGTACCTTGGCTGCCGACGTGAGGAAAATACTTAAATCGTCGTTGGAGAACCACCTCTGTAACTTCTGCTCCTATAAGCTTGGCAGCATCAATTGCAAGCTCTGTTACAGTTGGTCCCGTAACATCAACAGAATTTCCATAAGACCAGAATAATAAAACATCAGTGTCAGCATAGAACTTTTGCATTGCAACTGGATTTCCAATTGTTGCAGGATTGCTCATATATTCTTCAAAGTAGTAGAAGCCTATCGGCATATCTTCGATCCCTTTAACCTTAAAAACTGTAGTGTAGTAGTCAATTGTCTGTACTTTACTGAACAACTCCTTTTCAACATCACCCATCTCCATTACTTCACTTCCACGCTCTGTTACGAGAATTCTTTGTTAGGCATATAAAGAAGATAAGAAGGAATAGCAATGATAATAAATGAAGAAAAAGGGAGCGGGAGTAAAAAATAAACCTGTTGGATGTGAAGGTGGTGATCTGTAAATTTTTCCGTTATTTAAAGGGAAGGAACCAGAAATGATGATCTTATCAAATTCCAGAGCTTTAACTTCTCCATCACAACTTTTTACGTCAACACTGACACTATCGGAATAGCGTCTGATTGCCAACACTTCGGTGTTGCAGTGAACCATTGGGAGTGATTTGCTGATCTTCTCCCAAAGACTTGTATATCCACCTTTGAAACGGCGAATTTTTCCAGCCATGGAAGTTCGTGTGAACTCATGAATGTAGGCATAAGGCATGTCTTGAACAAACCCATAACCAGAAGCCGTGTATCCATAGGCCACAGATTTGGGAATAGAACTAAATCCTTGGCGTTCAAGATATACAGGAGTTAAGTCTGACGCATATTCACTCACAGCATGGACCCCAAATCGACCCGACTTTGCTGCCTTATCCTATCAAAGGTAAAATGGAGATATCAGTATTACGGAGCAGAGAAATCAAGAAATAAAACAGGGTGTAAGATACTAGGTACCAACCTGGAGTTCCAACGTCAGTGAGATCACCGATACATAATCATCTGCAACTTTAATATCTTGATACTGCCCTGATTTGTCAATAAGCGCAAGCTTGTGCGAGTCCATTTCTACTAGTTCAGATCCAGTCTCCTTTGCCAAGTGAAAGATGACAGGGGCGCTGTTTGCAGCAAGAACTTGACCGCCGAGATCATAAATTTTCCCTGTTAAGATAGTGTACATGTTGTCAAACTCAATTACATAACAAAGCAGGCACAAAAGACAGTCTTATGTTTCTCACCTTCAATATCGACTGATTCACACATGCCACCAACAGTATGGTGCTTCTCTAACACGGTCACATTGCTGTAACCAAGCTTCACCAGTGCATAAGCAGATGATAAACCACTTGGACCACCGCCTACTATCGCAATTCTTGTATTCAGTGGAAGGCATGGATGCAGCCTGGAGAACTGGTCTTCTACTGATTTTCCAGGGTCCATCTCCCTTGTCGTTCAAGCCTTCTGGCCGTGCCTATTGAGATCAAATAACAAACTGAGTTCAACTTTGTTCTAGTTCTAATTCCCAGTTAAGGTTTATAACCACAATTGGTGATAAACCCAAATCTACAGTTCTAGAAACCGAACTCTTGTTTGTATCATTGTTTGTTATTACACGAAAACAAGGGCATTTGTGCAACTATCCACTAAGGGCAGTGAGAAGAACGAAGATAAGAAACCGATGATGGGAAAACCTGATATTTCAAATGCAGCTCCAAATCTAGAAGGCTGAAATTGGAGCAAGGTGCGTATTCATACTTATTATAACTCATACAAGATTTCACGTGCAGACAGTCCACCAATATATATAACAATGAATGATTAGAACATCTTGGCTTACATTATTTATTATATCACAAAGAATAAAAAGCCATATTAGCTATTTGTCTTTCCTTATGACAAAAAATCTGTACAGTAGCCAGAAAAGGGAAAACATCAAGATGGGGAATATGGAAGGTTGGATCATCAAAACGAAAGAGGGCGAAAACCTTGCAGATCTTTCTGGATTTGGACAACGTCCAAGTGATCCATTGCTGACTAAAGTACAAATATGTTCTGTAAGTTCACATTTCATACATAAACACAGCACCATGTGCTTCGAAAATTCTCAGTCAGACTCGATATAGTATGAACTAATATAACAATCTGACTTTTGGCTATAAGAACAGAAGGTCATTTTAGTGCGCAGATTGGAATGGCAAGTAGAAGATGAACGTATGCTATTCAGATTGGAATGGCAAGTAGAAGATGAACGTATGCTATTCATACATTTGAGTCGAATAAGAGGGTGCAATAGCTATTGCATCTCACACGAGCGAATCACTTATCTTCTGCTGCATATAGCAAAAATGCAGACACAAGGGCAAAGACTAGAGAGGTGAAAAAAAAAAAACATACCTTGCACTCGCAAGAAATGCAAAGAGTGTAGAATATATAGTTTATGCCTTCCAAAGGCGGCAGCTTGATCAACTCGCTATACTCTACGAAATAGTCCCTGCAACACCATTACCACCTTAAATTCAGAAAACAAACACGGAAACAATATCGAAAGAAAGCACAGATGTTTACACACCCCTTTAGCATCACAAACTAGTTGTACACTCCAATTCGCAATATATCGCCAACACATTATACACAAACATAAAAGGAATATCGAAAGAAAGCACCGATCTATACCCACCCATTTAACATCAGAAACGAGTTCTACACTCCAATTCACAATATACAGCCAACACACACATTTCACTACTTCTATCACTAATATACTCTCTTTCGGACCAAAGATCAAACATTTCATAAGCATAAATTTTCCACCCACCTACACATTCATATGTACTACCAAGTTACCAACCCCCCCCCCCCTCTCTCTCTCTCTCTCTCTCTCTCTCTCCTGTAATTTTCACACCCAGATAATTGTTAAATCACCACGACCATGAAAAGGACTCACCTGGGCAATTTGGGTTGATCCAGTTGAATGCCAAATGGCATGTAACTATGGTAAAAAGCCGTTCTTCCACGCAGAAAAAAGTAAGCTGCTGATCTCATTTTTTTTCCTTACAATTTTCTCAGTATTTAAATCAACCCAGATGTCTCTTCCCGCCAATAATAAACAGACAAAAAACCTCCCAGAGTTTCTTTTGCTTCCGAAAATTCCAACGTCCTCGGTGACTTCGAGAACTTACAATCCAAAGATACCGATATTCCTGAGTTCCCTGCTTTATATATCACAAACGTTGTCATTTGTATTGAAAACGTCGGACACCTGTCCAATATTCAGTATATTCTCTTGGGAGAAGTTTTATCCGTATCCAGAATACAAAATTTAAACCGTAAAAATACTCGTAACATTAAGTACTATGTAACATTGAAATCACACCTTACCTTATGTATTATTTTCATGTTATAATAAGAGTGAATGACATAATTAATGTGTCACACTAGTAGAAATATTGATTAAAAAATAATTAACCTGTTATAATTTGAATAAAATAATATCACATGCATGTGTTTACGTATCAGTATATTTGTTTACACTTGTGCAATTATTGTTACTCGTTTACTTATCAGTAAAATGAATGAAAAGAAAGGGAATGAGTTCCCTTCATGACCTCCCCGTGTTTATTACCAAAAATCCATGATGGAATAACCTAATTTGAAGAATTTAATTAACTAGAGTGGCTTTTAATTTGATTCCCGTTCTTTCCCTCTCATTGTCTGCTTAAAATAGCGTCATTATTTATAATAGTTGAAATGTACCCTAGCTAAACCTTAGAAAATACCCTTTTGAAGTATAAAGCGGTTTCGTATTACCTAGAACTACTGTTCTAAAAATCGTCCTAGGCCGACACTT